AGAGAGAGAGAGAGAGAAACAACAAGTAAATAAACAGATGGGCACGACCGTCAAATGCTGGGGCTGGCTGGAATATGAGGTCGACAGGAAGCTCCATCTAGCCTTCCATTGGCGCCTGGGCCCAGCTATGCAAAGAGTGATCGAAACTGGGCCTCAGCAAGGATTTTGAAAACACAGAGGGAGAATCATGAGATTGTTGTTATCGAGCTGGGCTTCAACATGCATTCCGACCGAAGGAACTTGGACAATGAGTTGGAATCTTTCTGGAGCCCTGTTTTCCAGGAGGTGCTGCCGACTCTGACAGGGAAAGTCATCTTGCTTGCAGGCCTCTGCAGCCCTATGAACTTTCCGGTTTGTGTTCAAAAGAAGTCCGCCCAAGGAACAGATCGGCTGACGCATGTGCAAAGTCACGAGTATCCGTGCGTCTGTCTTCATTAGAGACAAGGAGTCACGTGTTTGCGCAAAACGGAGAGAACCTGAAATCATCGGCAAACGGACAGACAGCCATAGAAACAGACATGTAACGAGAAAAAACGTTCAGCAATGCACCAAGACGCGCGCGAGAAGCTCGCGAATGCCGGCATCAGTGTCGGCACTTGCCATAATAACCTGGGCTTTAAGCTAAGGCCACGGCTCGAAGGTTCAATTCATGTGGGAGCTCAACCCTGCCTCAAAACCTTGCTTAACACCTCCCCCCCCCCCCACAAACCCCAAACACTAAAAGCAAAAACTCCTGGAAACCAAAGCAGCGAAACCCTTAACCCTAAACCTGGAATCATCGACCTTAAACTGGCATGGAGTTCGGGGCTTCGTGTGCTTTGCTCTTCGGGTGAAAGCTTCCTGGCTTCTGTGATGGGATGGGGCAGGCACAGCGCCTCGGGCTGTTCATTTGGAGAGTTCGTTGATGCAGGGGCTGACCCTCTTGGGTGAAGACAGGTAGAGAAAGCTGGATACACCAAGAAGGCCTTTGTCCTTGTCGTAAGGCCGTGAGAGAGCGATAGCTGAAGGCTTCTACAATGCTTCTCTTTTGTGCTGCAGCGGCAAACTGGATTGTTGGCTTGCGGCTCCAGGGAAACCCAAACCTTGAAGCCCAAAGCATCAAGAATGCACACACAATGGCCAGAGTGGCACAAGGCATGCTCGGCTTGAGGTTTCAGGGTGCCGACTTCTGGCTTTCCGTTGACAAGATGCCAGAGGCAGCCGGCACGGCTGCTTGGTGGACGCTTCCGAAAGATCCTGGGAAACTTTGGCCGACATGGCCCCTTTGGAACCCTAAGAGCTGAAGAAACCCTGAGGGCTGACATGTTTACCGTGCCCTAAACCCTCAAAATCCTCAACCCCGAAATCCCTATACCTTCCTGCAATTTCCGGGGCCTGAAAAGCTCGAAGGTAGGCGCAGTAGACACCCAGCACACAGCTGCCAGTAACGAGCTCAGCAGGAAGCGCGAACTTCACCTGAGCTTCTTCCCTTTCAGGCTTGGGGTTTATGTCTGGAGCTAGCATCTTGACACGGAGCTCTGTGTAAGCCAAGAACCCACATATGGCGTCTTCAGTTCACCGACAACTACTCATTTTGACCTAAGTACGTAGCTTCAGATTTGTCGGGGAATAGTTGGGCAGTGGGCTGGCAGAATGTTTGGCCTAAGTTGGACGGGTTCATTTTTCGTTGATCTTCAATCGTTCAAGACTCTCGCTGTCCCGATGCCCTCCAAGATGAAGCCTCCAACTCCCAAAAGGCCCTAAAGCCTGGTCAAAAAGTCAAACCACAGACGCACAGGCCCCGAAGCCCGAAGCGGGGCCTCGCCCCCGCCCCGAAGCAAACCTCCACAGCCGGAGTGCGGCTGAGCTGCGCCGCTGAATCCGAGTCGCTCGCCGAGCCCACCAGCTGGGATCACGAAGCAGCACTTGGAAACCTGCGAGGCACATTGCATCACAGGGATGCCACTACGTCCTAGAACCTAAGGCCTGAACCTTCCAGCCATCCCTCAAAACCCACAAAACAAATAAACCCCCTAAACCCCTAACCCCCCCCCTTCAAAAAAAAAGTAACTTAACAAACCATCAAGAAAACCCGAAACCCTAAACTTTCTTTTCCTCCGCCTCCTGCACCCCGAACTCCTCGTAGGCCAGGAATTCCGCAGAGCCCACCTCTGGTCGGAAACCGTCCTCGGCTCTTCGTGGGTTTAGGGTTTAAGGTTTCTATGGAGCTTTAGAGACATGTTCAGGGTGTGCTTTGCTGGAGTTTACATGGCGTTGAAAGGTTTTTATGGTTTCATAAGGTGCAAGGACTTTATAGGGACTTGATGGGATTTAGGGAATTTGCGTGCTTCCGAAAGCCACAAAGCCAAGCTTCTTGTGGCACGGATGGGACCCATCCATCCAAGGGATTCTCCCCGCCGGCAGACGCCTCGAGCTCTGGGACAGCAGGGTTTCGGCTTTGGGGCTTTGGAGAGTTCAGGCGAGTTCGGGGCTGGCATGTTGCGGAGAAGTGGAGTTGCATGCAGTTTGCTTCTTTGGGGCCTTGCGGTTTCAGGTTCGAGCGTTCTTCCCACATGCTTGCAACCTGGGGGTCAACTAGAGACGCGATGCTGCTCCCCGCTCCAAGCCTGAAACCAAGGACCCTAAAGGCCCTAAACCCTAGGAGAACCCCTGGCAGCGGCCTGGAGCAGGGTCCGAGCATTCCGCAAGTAGCTCCCCAGTCCGCCTCCGCAAGGAGCAGCGCTGCTGGGTTGAGGGGCCTGTAGGGCTTAAGGAGTGTAAACTGCGGGTCGAGGATCAGGTCGAGGGTTCAAAGCTTGGGCGGAGGCACGCATCCACGCCTAACGTGTACTTGCGCATAGGTTTGATGGGTGGAGCTCGGTTTGGGGTAGACGAAGTGATCAGATCCGAAGGGTCTAAATGAGCTGTTCTGCATGCTGGAGGTGTGGCACATTAACCTCTCATGGCCACTCAAGAAGCTACAGTGCCAGGGCTCTTGGATGTAGGGCGAACCAGGCGCTGGACTCTCAATGTGAGCTCATAGTCTCGCTCTTCTCGTAGACACGCATGCTTTTCTGCCATTCTTTTGCATCTTTTCCAAAAGATTCCAAAAGCAGCTCATTGAGACTTGAGACTTGCAGAGCTAGAAACCAGGCTCCCACGCGAAGGGCCTCGTGGGCTGGAGAGGCACCGACGAAAGCACGATACTCCAAGAAAACGACGAGCAAGCACTCGCATCAGAATGCCCTTCATCATCCTTGCTAGGCGAGATGGTTCCCTCAGGATCGACACATTGTCCTAAACTGCTTCCCTGTTGCCGGATTGCGGGAGTCTGTTACACACGAGCCCACATTGCAAGCAAAAGGTTTACGGTTTAGCAGACGGGCTTCCACGATTTATCAGCCACCACACGATACACAAGAGCCATGATACGAGCCCCAGGAGTGTCTTCGCGGCTGAGAAGTGCAGAGGGGTATGCAGACAAGAAGGCCTCGTCGGTACGAATCCGAAGCCCTATCAAACCACACCCAATAAACAAAATGTAAACCTGACACCTTAAACCATTCAATCCCCTTACCTAAAACCACTCCGGTCGTAAGAGAGCCGTGGGCTTCGACTTTGGTGTGCAAAGTTTCAAGTTTAGGGTATCGGGTTTGGGGATAAAGGGCTTAGGATTGTTGCACCTACGCCCACCTACCTAAGCCCATGCCTGAATCTGATTGACGGCGCTACTCTTTGATGGGCAGGCCCCCCCCCCCCCGCTGGAAAGCTGAAGTCGCAAGCAGATCATACCACTGTCCAGGGTCAGAGACTTGGAAATGAAACCCAAATCCTCATGTCGAAACCTGAACGTGAGCCCCTAGGCCACCCGCCTGGATAGTTCTTGTCCAACGTCCGGATTTGGTCGAAGAACTGAAGCTTCTCCTGGGGTCGGGAGAGAAGTTCGCGTTCAGCATTTAGGCGTTCCGGAACCAGGGCTTCGGACTGCGGATTGAGGTCTTATGCTAAGAGAGTGCAAGCCGGAGGACTCAAAGGTACCTAGCAGATGCCGCAGTTCGAGTAGGGCCGGGCACACACTGTTCAAAAAACGAACAAAAAATCGCAAGTGAAAATCAGGACTGAATAAATCTTACGACCTGCCAAATGATCTACCCTGCAGTGAGATCTTCACGTGCGAGGGCCCAGCTGTTGAAACCGAAACCAAGCTCTACCTAAGCCTTCTACCCCGCGATGCAATCACAGTGCAGGCGCGGCACCGCATCACAGGTCCCCGGCGGGTCCCAGGTGCCGAAGATCGCAGCTTGGCCTGCTTTCACCGGCTTTGGGACCTTTAAGGTTTAGGGCCTGTCAGGTTTAGGATTTTAGGGTTTTGGGTTTACCGGTTTTGGGATTAGGCTTTAAGGCTCCATGAGGGCCCTATCAGGCTCTATAAAGTTCCCTAGGGGTTCTATAAGAATTCCGAAACGGTTCTGTAACGGTTTGACTAGGGCTCTCTATAAGGGTTCCCAAAGTGATCTATTCTAGAGTGTAGTGAGTTGGTGTAAGGCTCATGGATCAGACAAGAGGTCGCAACAAGTTCTTGAAGATGAGGTTAGTCCACGTACCAGGGTTTAGGGCTTAGGCTTTAGTTTTTAGGTTTTAGGGTGATAGACAACGGCAATGAAGCCCTGCGGGGCGGGAACGCTTGAAGGTAGAATAGAACTGTCCAAACTGTCCTTTGTTGGCCCTGTCTTCTTTTCCATCGCGATGGCCAGGATGGCAAACACCACATCCATCACCACCATCACTACCATCGATGCAACACACGCTTCGCATCATCGGCATGCGGACGTAGCCCCTGCCTTCTTGATCTTGCGACTTAAAGCTTAGGGTTTAGGGATGCTTCGTGGGCTCACACATGCAAAGTTGCGAGGAGCCGTCGAGGGACTAATTAAGGCTTTGCAATACTTGGGGATTTAGGCACAGCTGCTTCGTGCTGGGAACAGTTCCGAAAGCTGGCTCTCCTGAACTGAGCCCTTCTGACCAGCTGCCGTGGCCTTCCTCCACCAGCTGCGCAGCGCACGCACAGTTCCTTGAGCCGGAGTGAGAAAACAAGTAGACCTTAAACCCCAAAACCTTAAAACGTTTAAGCCGGCCCTACACCCTGAGTTCTAAACCCTAAAATCCCTACAACCTAAAACAACGACCCCAAGATAATTCCTAAATCCTAAGAATGCTGAAGAATGTGAAACAAAAACTTACCAGCCAGAGAAGAGCTTCTTGCTTCGGGGAAGAGGGCTTTACTTAGGACCTTGTAGAAGCATGTCACACGGAACGCGCAAAAAAAACACAATACCCCAGAGACGAAAGCGGTTGACAACTACCTACTTGAATCCCTTTGCCTGAACCCGTTGAATTGAAACCCGAATCGAACTGCAGGCCGCCCTCACCATCTCGGACTATCCTCTTGGAGCTCCTAAATCTTCCCCAAGCTGAAGCACATGAAGGATATGAGAAGAATGAGAAACAAAGGAAATCATTAAGGGCCCCCATGTCAGATAGAACCCTTATGGAACCCATATAAAATACACGCGCACCCCTTCAAGACCTGACCATGCGACCAGGAATCTCCTCTCCCAACGCATCCTGGAAGCTGAGAGTTCAAGGTGCCCGCGTGTCTTTCTGGCTTTTTTCTGTGGTGTTTGGGCTTAGAGGTGTGCAGTTTGAGGTTGTTGAAACGCCTTTTTGAAGTCACTAACACTCGGGCTTGCAGAACTCAGAAAAAGACCCTAAAACCTAAACCATAACCTTACAAATTCACGCTAAAGAGCAAAAACCAGGCCCTCCTTAAAACTAAACCTGAAATCCGAACCCCCAAAACTAGACCCAAAACCCTAAACATCTAGCCAATACACCCACAAACGAAACCCTAAACCGAGTAGGGCGCCGGGCACGGAGCTTTGAAGCCTTGGTTGGATCCTCTAATTTTCGTGAAGACTTCGAATTACTGCTCTTGGTTTCAAGTTGAGGATAAGGTTTGGGATTTAGGAGTTGGGAACGCTTCCAATGACCCTCTCGGAGTGCGGTGCAGGGTTTAGGGTTAAGAGCGCATCTCATCAGGACACCTGCTGCGAGAAATACATAAAGTGCAAATCTTTTCACTGCCAGCAAAAGAGGGCTTCAGAGTCGCAAGTGCAATGCTTACATATGCGGTACACAGGGCAGCGCTTACAGCTTACACCCCGCCTTGAGTTTTCGGCACTGTGCCGTAAACTCACCTATTTTGCACCAAAAGCGCTCAAACTGCACACTATCCTCTAAAGCAATATTGGCATGGGGTAAACTCTCGAACAGCTCCACTGTTACCCAAGAATGAGCACCCCGGCACATGAAACACTCTACCTCGTTGTGTGGCCACTGCCACGCGATCAGGCCACTGTGGCCTTGCTTGCAACCTCCGAATTTCATTCTCGCGCTCCTGGGCCTCTGTCTCCAGTGCTCTGTTGCGCTTCCGCAAAATGCGAAGCTCATCCTCACACTGTGTCACCGTCTTGTGCTCGTCATGCAGAGCTTCACGAAGCTCTGTGGCCCTTGTCACATACTCTTGCATAAACCTCTCCTCGCTCTGCGTTGGTCCAAAGCGAACCTGCACACCTACATCCGCTGTCTTAGGTGTGTCTGCTCTCTTCCTTGCGCAAACCATCTTGATGCATCCAGAAATCATCCAGACCATACCAACCACCAAGCTTGCTAGCACCAGTGCTGTGGCTGCCGTTGAGGTGAGGCTGAAAACAGCATCCTCCATCATAGCTGTCACCATAGCCACACCCAAGCCCTCATAGCTCTCAGCCCCAAGAACCTGAGCCAACACAAGCAGCACCGGCAAGATCTTCTTTGCATTGCCACCTGCGGTTGCCCCTGAAGTTGCCAGCCTTCTCAGAGCAAGCTTTTGCTCTGCCTCTTGGTGCTCCTCTGAACCAAACCTCTCACCGTCTGGCCCAATGGCTCCACATCTGAACAGGAGCTCGCGAAGCTTTCTTCCAGCCAAAGGCTTCGTTCCAATGTCTGCGGGGTTCCGCTGGCCACCTATCGGTCGAAGGGTGACCTCTCCTTTTCGCACAGCCTCTTGTATCCAAAGGAACCCGCAGTGGAGATGCCTCACGCGGCCGCAGCCAACACGGCTGCCGATCCCTCTTGCTGCTGCGGAGTCGGACCTTGCCACGGCCTTTATGTTGTACTCACCCTTGGTGACAAAGTCCAGGCACTCCTTCAGATATATAAGCTCGCATGCTCCAGAGATCATCGCCAGGAACTCGGATTCACCTGAAGACAGAGCCACTGTCTTTTGGCTCCTCACATAGCTCCCGACAAGGGAGCCACCAACAAACAGTTGCACTGAGGAGCGGCTCTTTCGAGAGCCTTTGCACCCGGCCCAGTCAGCATCAGTCACCGACTCAATGTATATTGTGTCGCCCTTTTCCAAAGGGCCTTCGCCACCATAGTCAACGCAACTCTTGTTGTTGATGGCCTTTATCAAGAAGCCAATGGTGGGGTACTTCTTGAGATACCCAACCACCCGGGTGAGGTGTCGCAAGGCTGTGGCTGTTGGGGAGCTCATCTTGCTTGTGAGGGCGCAAGTTCCAAACTGCACATCCGGTCTCGTGTGGCTTAAGTAGAGAAGCCGCCCAACACATTCACGAAATATCTTTGCATTGGGCTCAGACAAGGTTGCGGAGGTGTCGGGCTCCAAGACCGTCTGGTCCACCGGCGTGTCGCGGGCTCGAATGTTTTCGCCCAGCGCCTTCACGAGGCCATCGAGGTGCTTGTCCCCAGAGAACATCACAATCCCTTGGTCCTCCAGGGAGTACTTTCGCTTCAAGAATTCCACGCTCTCCCCAACCTCAGCCAGGGGGTCACTCACCTGCACCACCACTTTCTCCCCCAGCTTCTTGATGATCTTCTTCCTGGTCGCATTGGTGGCAGCAAGAATGCCGTCATCGGCGTGGAGCACCAGGGCACATTCATCCCGGTCCTTGGCTCGGAACAAGGTAGGTTCTTTCCCAAAGTTCTCGAGCCCCGCCTGGCCAAGCAAGTCGGTCATGAACTGGAACCACTCGCTCGCGGCAATTCGTTGCCCTGGCAGGAGGCGCTCTAGGATGAAAGTCATCATCCCCTCGTTGCCGCCCATCAGCCGACTGTCCACCTCCACAATCACCGGCTGTTTCTGCTCGCAATTCAAGTACGCATCTTTCACGTCGAGCGTACAAATTTCAAGTCCTCGTGCCAGTGCCCATGCCATGACTGAGTGAACCACAGCCAAAGAAGAGGACGGCGCGAAAAGTTCGGCACGCCAGGGTTCCCAACTGCGGTACTCACGGCCCACCAGCCGCGATCGTCTGACCCAGTTTGGTCGCCGCCTCCAATCGCGAACCATCTTTGTAGTAAGCTTGCTGTGGCCATCCAGGGCCTCGCCAGGCTTGGGTCTGCGAAGCACGCCCATCTCAATGAGGCGTTCCACTTCAACGCGGTCACTCTCAAAATCAATTTCTGCAAGCTTTTCTGGGCTGACTTCCGGCGGCCTGTCACCATCTTCGGCCTCATTCTCGGCCTCCCAGCTCATTGCCTCAAACAGCTCGGGCGACCACTCCTCACCATCGACCAGCTCGTGGGCCTCGACGTCATTGTGGACCTCCCTGATGCCGGCAAAGCTTGGAGGGTAAAGTGCCGATGCCGTGGTCGGGGAACTTGGCCCAGGCTTGTCTAACAGGAGTCGCGCTCTCTTTGGGACCGTCATCTCGTGATCCCCTTCTTCGGCACCCCTGCTTGGCTTGGAGACTTCCATCGCCTGTGGTCCTTCGGTCTGTGGCTCTATGCCTGCGCTGCCGCCACTAGTCATGCCCCTCTCTGGTTCTGCTGCTGGTCTGCTTGTTGCTTCGGCTTTCCTCTCTGGTTCTGCTGCTGGTCTGCTTGTTGCTTGGGCTTTCCTCTCTGGTTCTGTTGCTGGTCTGCTGGCTGTTGCCTTGGCTTTCCTCTCTGGTTCTGTTGCTGGTCTGCTGGCTGTTGCCTTGGCTTTCCTCTCTGGTGCTGTTGCTTCTCCTCCGGCGCCTCCGCCCTGCTGCTGCTGTTGGCCGTCTCCATCTGAGGAGGAACTTGATGAGGTAGAAGACCTCTCTGGCGAGTCTGTGCCAGCCTCGCTCACTGGAGGCCTTGGAGTTCCTGCGGCTATTGAGGCCGCCGCAGCATGGCCGGCTGCACGAGCAAGCTCCTGCAGGGTGGCCGTGTCCGGCAAGAGGGCCGGCCGTGATGTATACAAAGCTCGCTTGCGCTTCACCTGGCCTCCCAGGTCCCATGGAAGCCCTTTTGCATTCACAAGGGCTTCGGCACTCCATTGTTCTTCCAAAGGGAGGCGTCTCAGAGAACGCGTTTCGAAGCCGCCCTCGTCGGTGAGAAGCACGTATGCACCCGTCCTCTCATTGACGCCCACAAAGACTGCTCTGCGCCACTGCAAGTCTCCCTTGAACTTGGACTTGACGTGGCCAATGCAAACCTCACCAAAAGCAATAAGCTTTCCCCGGAAGCGCTTGCCGTAGATAGCTTCAAAGGGTGGTGTGCTCTTGGTCCCCACAAAGAACCTGTTGTGCAAGAAGGCAGCATGCTTCATCAGCCAGGCGAACACCGGGTGGGCGCCGCTGATTTTCACCTTTGCTCTCTCTTCGGCGTGGGCCTTCAGCGTAAGCGCCAGCCGCCTCAAGGTACTCACCGCCTTCTCTGCCACTCCGTTTGACTGGTGCGAGTCTCGAGGCACTTGCCGCACCACCGTTCGAAGGCCCAGGCGCGTCCTGCACGCCTGGATGGCATTGAGAATCTGGCCGATGGCGGGCTCGGTGTCGCCTTGAACCACCACGTCCTCGGACCCGCCAATCAAGATGCTTGTGCGCACCAAGTTTTCGGTCACTTTCTTAAGTGCAGCTGCACCCTTTGCCACCACCGGCATGCCAACCAACCATCCAGTGACAGCCTCACCCGCCACGAGGTTCAGGGCGAACTGGTTGGTCTTGTCACTCTCGTCCTTCTCGGCCTCGCCCTCGTCGCCCTGGTTGTCCTGCTTGGCTTCGTCCTCATCCGCAGGCTCCTCCTCAATCACCCCGCGGTCCCCAGTGAAGGTGTAAGCGTAGTCAATCTGAATGGTGGCTAGCTTCCTGTCACCTTCCTTCTCGGCCTTTGCTTCTTTCGCTCGGGGGTGTGGTGACTGCCGGGACCTTGCCAGAACGCATGCTGAGCACCAGCTGGCAAAAGGCTGGTGTGTCACGAAGTGGGCCTCTTGCTGCTGGGGCGTCGGAAGAACCGGTGTCTTTGGGACTTCAGGGTTTCGCTCTTGCTCCTTGTACATGTCCCGGGCCACCTCTGCCGCCAACTGCTTCTCCACGACCTCTTTCTGCGTCCGAAGTCGCTTGAGAACTTTGGGCTTGGCCCCGCTGCTTGGCAGGCCCAGCCTCCTGCAAAGTTCCCGAAGGTCGCGCAGAGGAGTCTCCATGCTGAGCGCCACGTCGTCGAGCATAGCTTCTTCATCCTTCGGGTCCCGCTCTTGCCCTCGCACAGGCCGGTCGGCCCAGACATCACCAATGCCACCTCCATCGTCTTCTCCGGCCTCAGCTGGCACCTCCATTTCTTCATCCCCGGCCGGCTCGTAGAAAAGGTGCCCCGGGCTCGTGAGGGCATTCTCCGGGATCTCGTCCACATGGAAAAGAACTGCAAAGTCGTGGTACCCAGCCAGCTCCTCCTCCATTTCAGCAATCCTCCTCCCGGCCTCAGGAAATGAGGCGGTGGGCCCTGTCCAGACCTGAACCCATACATCACCAGGCTCTGGCTTGCGAGTGGCCTCCTCCTTCCTCACAAAAATTGCGATCCAGGCCCAATCCTCTGCACTCCAAACTGAGGTCTCCAAGCTCACCTCCAGGCACCGGTGGCCGACCAGGAAAGGCAGGCCTGAGGGGAGAATGTGCCACCCGGGGTTTATCACCGCCTCCTCGCCCTCCGGTGGAAGGGCTCCACTGTCCAAGGCAGCCACCATCGCCACCGTCGCCGCGATCACCAGAGTATTCCTTCGGAGTCCCACCGGGATCGTGCAGCCTCCTTTTGTGATGGCTGGTCCTGCTCTGGTGTGGGCCAAGGTCCAGCCGCCACGCACAAGCTTCCCCAGGGAGAGGATCACCGAGTTCACGGCCGCAATGGCGAACTTCTCCTTGATCGTCACCACGCCCTGCTCTAGAGTTTTCACAGCGAGGCTCAAAATCCTCGACCCGCGCTCTGCAATCCGGTGCCCTTGGGCGTCCTGCATTTGCACCCGGCTTGCTGGGGCGTGCTGCCCCACAGTCTGGTAGGCCAGGGGTGCCACAGAGACGTCGGCACCGCTATCCACCACCACCTCAGTGATGTTCGCGTCCGCCCCAACCTGCAGAATATATGCTGTAGCCCCGGGCTCCTCCTCGGCGTCGGGCTCGCTGGCCTCAAAGTTGTAGGTGGGCAGGTCGGCGGGCACCGTTGTCCACACGCCGTCGCCGTCCTGGCTGTCTAGGGCAAAGGTGGTCGGGATCACCTGGCCGGCTGTTATCATCATCACGTGGGGCTCGTCAAGGGCATAGTCTTCGAAGTCGCTGTCCACCTCGGTCATGTCAAAGATTTGTGTGTTTCGGCAGCCCGGTGGCGTGCCGATGGCCGTCACCATTTCCGACCTGACTGCCTGCACCAGTTGCACCGTAGAAGGGGTCCGGTATGCCGAGGCCGAAGTCGAAGCCACACTCTGGCCAGAGGAGGGCACTGAGTTCTGCTCCTCCACTTGCTTCACGCTTTTGCCGCCACCCTTTCGTGGGTGGGGGCACTCCTTCTTCCAATGCCCTTTTCCTCCGCAGTTGTGGCAATAGCCCGGCATTTGCCCCTTTCCCTTGGGCTGGCCCTGCTGTCCACCACCACGTTGCTGCCAGCCACCTCCTTGGTCCCAGCTGTTCTGGTTGTGACCCTTTCCTTTCCCAGGCTGCCAAGACGACGAAGAGGGAGAACTCCACTTGTCCTTGCCTTTGTTGTTCTTTGCGCCCTTGCCGTCCTTGCCTTTGTTCTTGCCGCCTTTGCCGTCCTTGCCCTTGTTCTTGCCGCCTTTGCTGTCCCAACCTTTGCCTTTGATCTGGTCCACCTCCATTGGCGTCGGCTCATAGCTTGCGCTGGCTGCTCCTTTTCCCGCGGAGGTGGGCACTGACACGGCCCAGGGTGCATTCACAGACTCATAGGAAAGCACCCATTCCCGCAAATCGCGGTACTCTGTCCTCTCATTCATCCTCAGCTGCACCTGGCTTTTGAGGGGCTCCTTGAGTCCAGTCACCACCGTGGCAATCATAAGGTCTTGGGAATATTGCTTGCCGCTGGCCCGCTCGTAAGAGGTAACTGCTTCCTCAAAAGCCACCAGCTGCTCATGCAAGTTCCCCTCTCGGAACGTCCAGCTTGCTAGGTTCCTCACTATAGCCAGCGCCCTTGCGCGCTCCCGCGGCTCCATCTCCCGCTTGAGCAGCCGGATTGCTTCCAGCCCATTCTTGGTGGCCTCTTGGCTTTTCACCAAGAGCAAGGGTCTGCCCCTGATGTAGGAGCAGAGCACCCCAAACAGCTTTTGGCTGCGCTGCACAGCAGCATCGCTTAGCAAGGCATGGTCCTGCTCCACCTCGGCCTCCACACCACCAAGGTCTTCCTCAAACTTTGCATCGTGGCTTGCCAGCCACGTCCTCAGCTGAAAGAACCAATCTTTCCATCCTCTAAGCTCTTCTTCTCTGCTGGTGGGCTTCCAGATGTCTAGCTTAAGCCCTTTTGTCAAACCATCCAGCTTGTTCGCTTGCACCTGTGCTTCAGCGGCCTGTGCCGCTCTCTAGGTCGCCGTCAGCACCTTGCCAAAGACAGAGTTGAAGGCCTGCTCCAACCTCCTTCTCACCAACTGGTCCACCTGGTCCTGGACCTCGGGACCCAGAGGCTGTTGCCCAATCCCATCTGCAGCCTGCACGTTCGGCTGTCCCGTTGGGCTTGCCATCCTTCCTCCAAGCAGGGCTGTTAAAGACCTCCCCGCTCCTCCTGGGCCGCTCTTGGCCACACCAGATAAATAAAATCCTCTCTGAAAACCTCTGCTCCACCCGCTGCTGAAAACGCACGCGCTGACACCACCAGGCTTCCAATGCACCAAGGTGTGTTCCGGGGCCGCCCTTGTCCCAAAGGGTCTTACGCACGAATAGGATTGGGAGTTGGCCGAGTTAACGGCAGCAGCTCCAAGGGCAGTGCACGCAGCAACTGCAGAAAAGAAAGAAAACGCTCTTATCGGGTGAAACGAAAAATGCCTCCAGGCTCGGGCTCCTATGGTAGCCTACGGGGTCCCCCGGAGCCGGAGCTCCGCTACCATGCAAATCTTTTCACTGCCAGCAAAAGAGGGCTTCAGAGTCGCAAGTGCAATGCTTACATATGCGGTACACAGGGCAGCGCTTACAGCTTACATAAAGTGCAAGCCCGATGCTGGTAACACTGCAGGTAGGGGCTTTGGATCAAAGTGTAGGGCGGCTTACTTGCGAATATTGCCAGGAAGTCTCACTAAATCCCAGAAACAGAACAAAGCCCTAAGATTCAAAGAATACATGCTCCCAAACTCCAAAATCCAAGCTGCTAAACCTTGGCCCCGTGATTCCAGAGATCTTAAAGCCAACTCCCATGTAGAATCAAGAGTCCAACATGACCTTCAACAGCACAGATAAAGTAATGACCCCAAGAAAAGAAGCCCAAAGCGCCAAGTTCTCGGAAGAACAACATAAGAAATAACATTACTCGAGGCCATCCCGAGGCTCGCGATTTTCTGCCAAGCCGGCAACTCCTGAAATGTCTGCTCGTGTGGCCATGGCTCTCCATGAAAAGAAGCTACGGCCGGCTGTGGTGAGAGTGCTTGTTGAAATTCCGAGCTTCGAAACCTGTGAGAGGGGCTTCAAGTGGTGTAGGTCTCTGTGAAATGAATCGGTTTCCCACATGTTCCGTGTTAGAATAGAACAGCATATAGTATAATCGAATGTAGTATATCATGGGTGTTGGGGCGCTGCAGCTTGCGGGTCTGAGATGTCGGTGTGCTGCGTGTCTTGCATGGCTAGTGACGGTCGGTGATACAGGTTTTTTTCCGTAATCCAGATTCGGCGTACTAGAGCAGTTACAGGAGAGCAACTTAGCGCAAGCAGCTCAGGGAATCGGCAGCTGCTGCAAGTTGGGTTTTAAGGACTTCTGCATGCTTCTTGCTGGTCTTGCAACAAATTCAGTTATAGTGGCGCGTGATGTAAGACCCAAACGCTAACAAATCCTACGACCCCAACAGTAAAGACCTGAAGACGCTAAACCCTAAACTTGCAACAAAACCCTAAATTGCTCCGAATCCGAAGCCCATGAAAACCTAAATCACCCCCGCCTGGGGCGTTTAGTTTTGGGGATTCGGGCTTTGGGGATATGGCTCCTGTCTGCATGTTTAGGGTTTACGGTTCAAGGGCTTTCACTTGGAGTTTTGGATTTTTGGGGTCTGGTGCTTCATCCTCCAGAAATCCTAGACCCAAGGTTTGGGTTCCAGCTCTGCCACTTCCGATTGGGTTTCGGCTTGTTTTTGGTGGACTTACGAAACGGTTGAGGATTTAGGGTTTAATCGCCGCGATGGCAGTGATACCCAAAAAGTATACTAAGTATTGCTTAACTCAAAAAGGACTGTGCGTGCAGGCGTAGGCAGCACAGCGAGATCTAAACCCACAGATCATGCTCGTCACGCGCCCGAGGCCCTAATTCCTCTCCCCTTGAACCCTGAGCCCCACAACCCGCGAGCCCCAAAACCCTGAGTTTCTAAACCCCCAAAACGCAGTCACATCCGTATAAGATCCTTGTAAAGCGCTCAAAAACATACCCTGAACCCTGAACCAGAGAACACTGCTTCATGTGTCTGCAGCAACGTCTGAAGGCTGGCGCCAAGCAGCGGCTTTGATGTGTAGTAGGGCTTGGCTTAAGGCTTAGAGCATCTGGTTTCTAGGTGATTTTATCGGGAACTATGGACCGCCTTCTAGTTCCATGGCAATTTCCAGAGGTTTTGCCCAGGGTTGTTTAAATAAGGTGGTACATTCTTTTTCATTGGAGCGGTTTTCTAGTGTGCTACAGATGGTTCTTAGTGTTTCCAAGTTCTTGGGGCCGGGGGTCTAGAGTCTAGGGTTAAACATTAGTTACTGGGTGACGGATGTTGGTGGATTTCTGCCAGGACTTTGGGTCAGTCTCCACATACAACGTGTCGCACCGATGCCGGCACCCGTCGCAACTTCTTGCAAACTCCACGGAGCATCTTGAGGAAGTCATTCTGCTTCCCATGAACGATGAATTGCGATTTAGCCGGCCAGTTCCAGGGTGCAAAGGAGCCGCCTTTCACCAACATGATCTCTTTGTGATGATGGGGCAGAAAGCAATAATTGAACGCTCCTTGATCAGACTTGAACGTCGCCAGATCGTAGCTCATCACGCAGTCGCCTCTAAATCGGGCACCAAGCCAGCTGTCAAGATATTTGAGCTTCTCATCCCTGTAACGGGGCAGCCAAAGGAACAAGGCGCCAATGTTGCATCCCTCATTTTTCTTCCACCACTTTGTGCCAACTGCTTTCTCCAAAGCATGTTTCCGATTTTTGATACATCGGTCCACTTCGTGGATGCACTGCTCCTGCCCACGATAGCTGCAAGTGGCAGTGCCGTCGGCTTTGCAGATGTCCTTAGAAACAGTCATCATCTTCTTCCCTGGCAGGGGTTCAGACTCGCAAATCGCAACCCACTCGTCTCCATCTGCGTGATACCTTTTTTTCACAGTACTCAGCAAATCTTCTCCCCAATACTTCGGGTTAACAGTTGCATCATGGTCCAAAATGAGCACCCATTGAGAGCGAACATAAGACTGCCGCACGGCCTCTTGGAGGCCCCATGGCTTCACCCATCCGGCACCCAGCTTTGTTCGCCAACATGGAATGCTCAAACCCACAAAATCCAAGCCGTGCTCCAAAGCATATGCAAAATTTAGGGTGAGGCAAACTTTCGGAGTTTTCTGGCTTAGAATGTTCGCTGTAGTGCTCATAAAGACAACTGCCGGGGGCGACTTCTGAGCATGGTACACTACCATATGGTAGTTGCCCCATGCTCCCAACATGTAAGGCAGGTTGGACACGTTTCCTGCACTGACAACTCGGGACGAAAGGTTGAAGCGCTCTGCCCAGTCACTTTCCTTTGTATGCAATCTGCCCACCGTCTTCACAGGCATGGGCAGAGCGGCTCCGCCCAGGAAATCCAACTTGGGGCAACCAACAATTGCAACAGAATGAGTCGTCTTCGACCAGGCAGAGCTCGTCGTGATTTCATCCGTCGGGACAGCGGTGGAGACTGGCTTCTGGACTCCTCTCTTGGCGGAGTCACGTGATGCAACAGCCACTTCCCTGACTCCTGCTTCCAGAAGCATACCTGACGTTGAAGGGCTTCCCTGCATCCGCAACAGCTTTGGCAGTTCGTGCATGAAGGACGGTTGTCGCCAGATCTGGACAAGCCCAAATGGAAGCACAACACATGCTGCAGTTGCCACCAAGCGGCGTGACAAGCACTCCATGCGAGGATTCGAATGCACGTCGGGCCAGCATCTAATTCTTTCAGAGCTTTCACCCAGCCCTCGATGCCAGCTCCTCTCCTAGCAACTCTTGATGAAACAATCTCAAAATTGTCGGCCGCCGTGACGTCTGAAGCAAACTATAACAAAAGACTGCAAGCTAAAAAAAATTCAGCGGATCCGGACGCACCTCCGCGACTCCGTGACAGGCCCTGGTCACTTGATTTTGCCCATCCCAGCACTTCCACATCAACATGTAACAGGCTTGATTGCTAGAACTCACAATGATCATTCCAGCACGGAGACGAACTTTTCCTTTTTCGAGTTTCAAGTTCACATCGGGCTGCACAGTCTGGGGCTACATTGGGATAGTTGCCATGCGACCCGAACAAACGCCAAATTCTTCAGCTTCTCTCCAAAAGCACCTGCTCGAAGCCATCTATACGACGAAAGCCGAAGAGCAGCCTCTCAACGATTTAAAAATTCAGAGTTCGTTCATTTCCTGAATGTTCTTTGCGCAAATGTCTTTGAACACGTCATCTATGCTCCAAAGCAACTTCTCCAGGCCTTCTTGCCAATCAAGTTCGCGGCCTCCGCTTGGAATGCAAACCAGATGGAAATGAGCGCAGTTCGAGGCCGCTAAACAACACCACATTTGTTTTAACCGCTCTCGCAGCCTTTGCAAAAGATGTATACATATTTCTACATATGACTTTATTATACATATATATATATATTCATATATATATATATATTCATATATATATATATTCATATATATATATATACTTTTTTATGTATACATATGGGAAAAAGAAGCCTTTGGGTCTGTTCAACCACACCTGGTGTCGTATAGAGCTGCAATTCTTTAAATTATTTAAGCAAGTCATATGATAAGTTTTCAATGAAATCTGTCATTAACACATTGTTAATTTGTGTGAAAACAGAGCGCGCAGCACTCGGTCTTTTCTTGAGCCAAA